ATCCGTTCGTTAGCTGGCATCCTATATCGGCGGTCTCGCTGGTAAAATGGTGAAAAGGATGATAGATTTGAAGAAGACGCAAACAGTGGCAATGAGGAGAGGAGCCATTTCTTGCGATTTGGTGAACGCTGCAAATATCAGTCTATAAATAACGACCCTTAACTTTGCATAATTCAACTATACTTAATCGCTGCGTAGTAAAAATGGGTCCGCAGAGAATGGTTTGAACTGCAAACTACGCTATGAGTGTCACAAAAACATGTTGATATTTTACGCTATTATGCTGTGTTTCTAGTAATTACAAGGAACAGTTAAAGGACGTTTGATGTTATTAGTAGTGACACTTTATAGGGTGCCATCCACTCCTAGTCTTTTCCTGCAAACTGAAACCTATAGAAACAACGTATTGGATAGCTTGAGATTTTTAAAGACAGGAAGTGCAGTTGAAACACTGTATTCACTCCTTGTACAGTTCAGTCTTTGTGATGGCTTTGAACAGAGCTGTGTCCTGATTGGTTTTTTAGGCGATATGTTCATTCGTCTCGCTTCCAAAAATGAAAATTCAACAAATGAAAATTTTGAACGGGAAGATAGATTTAAAGAAGGCACCAACAGTGTCGATCAGGAAAAAAGGCATTTGGTGGAATTTGGTGTCAGCCGTAGATATTTTGCTGTAACGTAGAGGTTACAAATTTTATGTATAATGTAGCCAGTAGATGCTGCCGTGGTAGTAAATAACCTAAAAACACCAAAATGATATACAGATTTCACTTATTACCGACCCTTTATTGGGTCAATTAATGTTTCTGGGATAAAAACTACAAGGAAGTCTAAAACCACGGGTTCTTTGTGAATTGGGTCTTTTTGGCCAGTTTATTGTTAAATGAAAAACAAACTTGAAGCTGTTCGCGCGGGCCATGTGCGAAACTAGCAACTAGCAGAATAAGAGTGACGCAAAAAGAGCATTACGATTTAACTTCGATAACTTTGAACAGTTTGTCAGATATTGGCAAATTCTTTTCGAAGTGAATTCTAACGGACTGTACATAGCTCCAGAATAGAAAGAAGGAGACCTCTTTTTTGTTTTGTAAGTCATTAAGCGTAAAGTTTCACTTCGTAGTTGTGCAGTGACAGTAGGAAGGTGGACAACAACAACAACAACAACAACAACACATTAAGCATTATTTGCATGACTATATGAAGTTATAGTATTGCAAACGCTTTAAGATAAAGTTACAATTAATACTAATAATTAATAAGGGATAATAAGCCAATTAAAAAAACAATGATTACAATCATGAATGATTACAACGGTCAATAAAGCCGGCATCAGTATGATTTGTTAACAAATTATTACGTAAATCATTGCATAATGAGATAAATTTTAACAAATGTGAGTTAGGAGAGAAATTCTGTGAATTCGTTAGTTAAATTATTAATTCTGTGCAAGATAGCTGATTAAAATTGACAAAATTATGTTGGATCTGACTGTAGAAGTTTTTTCCCTGGGATTGAATACTTTGGACAGTGCAAGAGAAAATGAAATTCTTCTTCAATTATACCAGAGTTGCAAAAAAGACGGAATCTATCGTTGTGGGGAGTTTGATCATATCTTCCAGTTTCAATCATGAGTTTGTGGTTGCTTATACGAAGTTTCACTGAGTCTTTCCCATGGATTGAATTTCTAGTTAAGTCTAGATGACGTGAAATTTTATAATCATATTTAAATATGCAGTAAAATTGTAGCTTCTTAGAATGATGGATTGTATGTTGCCAATACGTAATATATATATATTTTTATTATATCTATATAGTGTTTTATCTTAGCTTCACTTAAATTGTTAGTCTAGGATCAAACTCATGCAGGCCATAATATTCAGATTTTTTGATAAGATTATGGTAAAAGCTGTTTTGACCGTTATAATGAAGTTCTAGCTAGGTACGAAAGGCTTGCTTGCCAACAGTATCCTCGTTTCTACGCTGAAAAACTTTTTATTGACTTGCAGAAACAGCCACCAAAACGGATCTCTAGTAGTGTACAGAAAAGTGTGACACGACGAATCCAAACCGACTGTTGTTTCTCTAACCTAAACCTATAATTGCCTCCCTGCCTCTCGCCGTGGCTTGCAAAGGTTTACGGTTTCGTTTGCACTTGGCTTTAGGGGTTTTGTTACTTATATTGCTTCTATTGAAATACATGTATTTTGGTTCTGAGATGCTTATAATCTTGTAAATGTTATATAGTTGTGCATAATAAAACTTTACAACAAAAAAAGAAGAAGAAAAAGAATTTGAAGTCAAAGCTGCTTCTTTTCTTGCGCGTCTTCGTCGCCATCATCCTCTTGCCCCAGTCGTTCAAAAGGTGGATAGCAAGATCCACTAAATCAATCACTCTGCAGTGGATAATGCAATTGGTTTCTACAATACTTTTTGGCTAAATAGTGATTTCTTCCATAGAAAACACCATCCACCCATCTGTCCAAATTGTAAATGTATTGCTACACAGTAACAATATTTTGTCAGCTTGAACATGACAGATTGTCAGAGGGAATTGGGATATTTATGGAGTGCGATGAAAAACTATTCAGTGGGAGTTGCTGAAGAGTATTTAAGCATTAGTAGATCATCAGCTAATACTAAGAATGTGAAAGTTAATTCCCTCGTGCAAGGACAGTGTTCACAGCAAGAAATTGAGGATTTCAGCGTTTTGATTCTTATTTAAAAATATCATCATTATCAAAGTATCACAAAGTTGCTTCTAAATGTCAATGTGAATAAACCTAATGTATAAGAAAAGAACGGAATATGATCATGGTTCAGTCGGTTCAGAGTGTATGTTACTTGAATAAATTATTCAACTCAAATTCTTACTCAATGTTCGACCTGACGATTACTAAACAAGCAAAATGCAGTCAAAATCATCTAAGTATCCAAAACGAAAACTCTCTTTGTCTTCGAGAAGTTGTTTATTCTAGTTATTCAATCAGTTATTTCATAAAACAGGATATTTGATTATTCAAACTTTATTAAACATGCTTAGTTTGACGCCCATCTTTATGGAAACGGATTTTAATTGGAAATCGTTTCGTTTCCGTTAGAAAGCGCCTGGAGCGAAAGAAATTCAATTTGTCCCTTTAAGACTTGAGACATCGTTAAAAGTAAGAAAATAGGGAAGTTAGATTGCACTTTGGGCTGATTGTAAAGGTATTTTTTGAGACTAAACGTTAACTTTTTACTGAATCAGCACCAATCATAAGGACAGCTACGTCGTCTAGCCGCGCATTAGGTCAGATTAGTAAAGTCCCGTTGAGACGAATTATTGCCAAATACAGCCACAAGTGTATTTATTTTAAAATAGAAACAGTGAAAAGATGGCGAATAGACGTTCCAGACAAGTAGTCTTAGGCCCAGTTCAGACGTCGTGCTTCTGCCGTGCCGAACTTAATTGTAATTTGGTTCGACTGTAGCACGGCAGGAAAACAATTTTGATTCAGACGTCGTGCCAGAGTAGAACCAAATTCAGGATTTACTGATGCCTCGTAACAATTCTTCTTCCAACTCCCCGCGAGAACGCAATCTCGCCAAAATACATTAATATAATTTATGAATTTTGTTTAGCGCGGCAGAAGCACGACGTTTGAATCGCTGCCGTGCCAGAGCCGTGTAGTACGGCAGCGCTTAATTGCTTGAAGAACTTAATTCAAAAGTTTGATTCAGACGCCGTGCTTCTGCCGTGCTTTTGTCGAACTTAATTCCTGAATTTAGTTCGGCACGGCAGAAGCACGACGTCTGAACTGGGCCTTACAAAGGTTAAATTAGTTATAATCGTAGGATCTTTCTGTGTCGTTTTTAGATCATGGATGACGTAGTCATTCCATGGATTTAGAAAGCAGTCAACTCACTCATTCCATCATTTATTTATTAACATAACTTGGATTAAACGTCTTCTCTGCTAAGTATTGTTTCTGCTGCTTGACGGCTTTTTAATCGGGCTACCATGAGTCAAGCTTTATTTGCTATAAATCCTGGTCACAAAATAATGTGCAAAAGAAAGAACCTAGGAAACAATCGGAAACAATGGTGGTCATAAAACAGAGCCTAAATAAGCTAAGAAATATTTCAAGACAAGTAAATTTTAATTACTTCAAGTAAAATAAAGCTTCACACACCACCCATACTTTTTTACTTCAGGTTATTTTTCCACGCAACAAAATTACGATTGATTGACATGTCTCGCTTTTCTCAAAGCTCAAAAAACCGCAAAACCGCAAGTCAGCTAAGTCGGTCATAAGTCGCTTGAAACTTTCTTGAATCGTTTCAACTTTCCGACTCTAATGAGATGCAAAGTAAAGTTGCTTGAGATTTTACTTAGGCCTTCACACACGAATTTTTGGTTAAGTAAAACTTAGCGGCTCTTAAGTCTTACTTATCAGCCTAGCGTAAAGACAACCAATGACAGAAGCTATGTGAGCACGCCGTTGCCACCAATGAAGACTACAGCGCACTGAAAGACAGCCATTGAGGGAAAGATGTTTTAAAGCTCGTGTTCTCTCCCGTTTTCATTGTTTCTTCAAAATATTTCTCAACGATAGCATAACTTTTCCTACCTAGCCACTTTGACTCCCAAAACATTTGATGTCACAGCTCTTTATATGAAGACATAATCGGAATATTATTATTATTATCATTATTATTAGTATTATTACTTCACTTGTAACATCCGCCTTAGTTTAGTTTAGTTATTATTATTATTATTATTATTATAATTATTATTATTATTATTATTATTATTTCACTTGTAACATCCGCCTTAGTTTAGACCTCGATTGCGTTGCAAGTTTCGCTTCCTGTTCTAAAAGTAGAAGCATGGAGTAAACAATGCCACAAACCTGCGCCAATTGGACAAGACGAAAAATATTAACATAATAATTGCAGGCGTTTTTGTTAGACATAACTGTGAAGGTGCGAAAGACTCTCATTCCACCCGAGAATCTATAGCGATGTGGAAGGCATTTTTTCTAGGTGTAACTTTTTGGTGGCTGCACATGACTCGTGATGTTGGAAATGCTTTCGCCTTACCGCCAAGAGATACTTATGGTAAGTATAAGGCTCATAAAGAAATTATTTTGAAACCTGTGTGTTAGGCGGACAACCTAACAACCATTAAGAGAGCGGAAGTGCAAACAATTCACTTAATAACCAGCTCCCTTATAACTAATCTTTTGGCCCTGTGGTTTGAATGTTAGCATCGACGACGAGTACGAGTATGAGTTCTAGAACGAGATCAGCGATTTTGCGTAGTGCGCATCCGTTTTGCGCATCTCCACGTTTTCAGGTCGTCCTGTCAAGTTGCACTACGACGAATTCTCACCAAAACCTTGAAGTGGGTAGAACTACTGGGAAGAGCTAGTTTTCAAAGGTAAATTCCGATCGTTTAATGCAGTTTCTTTTCGTTTCTAGCCTCTCTTTATCATCTTGAACATTCCTTATATTATGTTTTATGTAAAATACTGCCTTTGAAGCCGAGGAAAAGCAACCAAACGCGACATTTCCTACACAGTTCTATAAACTCGAACTCGGTGTCATCGCTATCATAGAAAGCTGAGAAAACGACTTCGAGTACGAGTACGGCTTGAAGTTGTTCTCGTACTCGTACTTGTTGATGCTAACATCCTCCAATATTACATTCAGCACCGTCTAAGTGTCCAAAAAAAATGGACCAAAAAAACGACTATGTCACTTAGGACTTTCTATGATTTATTCATAGCAAATTACAGATCTTGTTAAAAATAGGGCTCTTTTATCTCAAGGGGTTATTATCTCAAGCACAACTTCCTTATGGCATATTGAATAAATTGACCCCTATTTTATCATACTTTCTCGATAAAGCGGTGACAAGCTGTAATTCTTTATTAATGATTAGGTTTTAGATTTTTAGTGCTAGAATTTGGCCAATTAGCAACTTGCACTCATTCCAAATGGACGTTTGTAAATCTCCAATGACCTCCATTACGCGATGAAATGCTTTCCAAGTTTAATTAGTTTTTGTTTGATCGAACAAACTTCATGCTGTTAAGGTTTTCCATTTTTAGTTCCGGCTAATGCCTGCCGTTTTCGACACTGGAGAAATGTCCTTCATGCTTTCTTTTAATGAAATCTTGAAGCTGTATGGTAACTGTTCTTAAAGGTTTGGAAAGACCACAAGACCTGAATTTTCAAGCAGGATCAGGGTTGATTGAGTTTCCAAAAATATGATCATACATCAACAATCTATGCGAAATTCTTTTAAGAAACATCAACTTGAAATGTTACAATTGCTTGTTTAGAACCGATGTTAGTTTATCCGATTATTTAAATCTTTTTCAAAACGACAAACACAGTCATGAAATTGCCAAGTTAAGATTAAGCTCAAATTAATAATTAAACGCAATTACAATTTAAGAATTGAGTCAAGAACACATACCCATAATATCCTGCTTCTCAGAAAAGCAAAGAAAATACGTATTTCCCGTTCAGAATGTAACTTCAATATGCACACTACAGCACAGGACCGTCAACCTCCCACAAGTTCAAATATTGAAAAATGACAGGGAGGGGATAATAGATGACGTAATAATGCACGACACATGGGGTGCGTACCATTTGACAGAAAATTTCGGAAATTCCGGATGGAAGGTAAATGGTAAGTTCACTTTTCGGAAATTCCAACCGAAAATTGAGGAGTACGTTTTGAGGTAGTCCTTTCATTCCGGTTGGTACGAACCAAACGGAATATTGCTTACCATTAACCAATTTCTCGGTTCTTTCTCGGTTCCAGACTCACGATAAAACTTCGCCCTTTTTTGGATTCAAACCGAAACGGATGTGGCATTTCAACGGTAAACTGGTAAATCGCATACCATTATGCTTTCGACACCCCAAACGCATTTTTCTGTCAAATGGTAGGCACCCATGATTTCATTTGTGCAAAAAAATGCGAAAAGATGTTTTTAAAATTGCAACGTTTGTACCTGCTTGGTTTAATTCCCACCAATCACATTATTGCTTATATTACAATGGCATACCGGAGTTTGTAAGGAAACCTTCGATGTTAAAAGTTAAATAGGTCAAACAACGCAAAATATTTGAAATTTCATTGACAGAAAGATGAATCATCAAGAAATTGCAAACTTCGGCAATTATGCGGGAGATTTCAGACTCTTATACTACAACAGGAAAAATTTCTGCAACTTGATTGGCTCAGTGCACTTGGTATTTCAGCTTAATTTGAAATACCTACATGTGAAAATTACAAACCTTTTGTGATATTTCAAAATTCTCTCAAATTTCAATTACGTTCAACAATTTTGAAATATCACTCGTGGTATTTATGCCAAATATCACTACAAATCATGCTATTACCTGTACTAATCTGGAGACCGGGAGAAACGGTTCAAAATCGGGAGCCTCCCGGATTATCCGGGAGCGTTGACTGACTACAGAGGACAATTATTTCATAATTAATCATCCTAACTATGAATTGATAAACTGTAGCTTTTCATGCCTTCTGCACCCGTTTGTCAAGTTTTCTGTTTCGGAGAGAACAGGGTGTACGGTGGACGTTGTTTATTTCATCGATCATATTTTGAGAGCTAGGTTCCCCCAAACTGTATTTGACTTCACCCGAATGCGAAGATAGAGCTACAGGATAATCTAAGGTTCTCGAACCATCGATTTATTCGCCCCATGTGTTAAGGGCATACGAATTCCGGAATCCGTGAAATAATTGGTTGTGGAATCCGGAATCCTGGGCTTTGGGATCCGAGATACAGCTCAAAAAAATCAGGAACCCAAATTCCACTAAAAAGGACTGGAAGCAAGTGCCTGGAATCCGGAAAACCAGCCGTGGAATCCAGAATCTCAGTAAGACTGTCTTGGATTCCTTTAATTAGAAGGAGCGAATTTATCGGATCTCCCGAAAACTCAAACCAAAACTGGCTTCCCTCTTTCAGTCATGTAATGTTTTGAATTGGCTCCAGATATTATGCAAGCCAATTTTCTTTGGGATTTAACTGTATTTTGTCTTAATGTTATGCAAAAAAATATAGACAAATAATAAAACAATGTGGATGGCGTTAGGATCTGCTAGCTAATTTGCGTAAAGGCTTTATTTGGTAAAAGTACATTCAAGTAAATAGTGCTGCGCTAACAATAATTCCGGGATGTTCCGGATGCGTTACTCAGGGATTTTATCGATAAATTGGAACGCCAGAAAGCAAAACAAGTCAATTGCCTGGCTATGAAAGCGTGATTAACTAGACATCACTCAAATTCGTTTTCCCCCATAACATTTCAAACTATTCACTATTTTTAAAAAGACCACAGTGCATTCTTGTTTACTACTCAACATTTTGCTTAACCATTGTTAAGGGGGCTAAATAAGGTGCATTATGGTCTATGCGAAAATGGTGAGATCGTGAAAGAGATGAATACATATTCATTTGTCACACTGAATTTAAAATTCAGATATTAATAGAGGTTGACTACTTAAATCTTAAACACCGTTTTAATTAATGAACATCTATTTTTGTTCCAGGCCTCAATATGTTTCTGCATAATAATGGCAAAGAATGTCTAAACCGGGTCGCGATGTTTCCACTTTTCACGTTGGACACTTCTTTTGCACCAGAGCAAGAAAGACAGGTTTTACTAGACATATATGAATCCACAAACGGCCAAAAATGGTTCGACAGACGGGGATGGGCCAGCCTTGCAAAAGAAAAATCTCACTGTTCCTGGTATGGTATTACCTGCCACGGAAACACTTCATACGTAAAAACAATTGTGTTGGCTTACAACAACTTGGACGGCTCCCTTCCTTCCACCATTTGGAAGATCAGAAACTTGTTTTCTCTATGCGTTGTGGGAAATCCAAATCTACATGGACGTCTTGACGACTTTCTCTTTGGAAATATGACTAACCTGCTTTCCGTCGGGTTGACTGCCTCTTCTGTTGGTGGATATATCCCAGAGGACTTCAGCAAACTTAGAAAACTGCAGAATTTCATGGCTTGCCCTATGAATGGTAACGGTATCTCAGGTCGTTTACCCCACGACATAGGAAATATGAGGGAGCTACGATTATTGGGTCTTGGCGGAAATAACATAAGTGGAGAAATACCAAGAAGTATTTCTCGATTAAACAAGCTTTGGTATCTCGATCTAAGGAATAACCCTGGTACGATGTATGGGAGGCTGAGTGACTTATTTTCGCTTTCTTCGTTGAGACAGTTGTTCGTATCTGGGATTCAACTAACCGGACGCATGCCTCGTGTGTTGCCAAAAAGGTTTTGGTACCTTGTTCTACCCGGAAACAACATTTCAGGTACGCTTCCGAAAACGTTCAAAAATAACAGCAACCTCTATGTATTAAATGTCGCCAACAACCGACTTACAGGGGATATACCAGGTGATTTGCTTTCCCTGCCACAGTTATATATGCTTGACGTGTCACAGAATCGTTTTTCTTCATTTAACCAAGGAAAGGCCTGGCCAGATGATGCCACAGTAAATGAAAGTTTATCCATCTCTTTAGCGGACAATAGGAATCTGTCAATGAATTTTACAAGCTTCATTGGCCTTTTCCGCCAATATATGGATCAAGGGACTGACAGCCCTGCGACTTTGAATGTGAGCTTCTGTGGTATCAGTAGTCCAATACCAGACAATGTGCTTTACATGGAGAGATTGTCTGTTTGTGACTTACGTGGTAATAACTTTTTTGGACCTATACCAACTTTCATCGGAGACTTTTCTTTTCTAACCACTTTTGATATTTCATCAAATAACCTGACTGGAGGTTTTCCTGCTGGAATTCAAAACTTGGTATCCCTCCAAAATTTGGATATTTCTGGAAACCCTTTTATGCGAGAAGGAAATGGGGCAACGTCTAATACCTTTCAACCTGATTTTTTAAGAATGATTAAACCACACAAAGCAAACAATTTCACCTGCCCAGAAGGAAGACTCACCTTCAACAATGGTCTCATTCGCGTAGATCCGACCTTTTATGAGTACAAATACTGCGTCTGCGATGAAGGTTTCTACGGAGAAAAAGGTTTGTGCAAACAGTGCATGAAGGATGGGACATGTCACAGACTTGCACCCGGTTCGGCAGAAGATCTTCGTCCCAGCATCATGAACATAAGCAGCGGTTACTGGCCATCCCCTGATCCTGCTAACGCTACCCATCTTGTCAAATGTCCTGTTAAATCTGCCTGCAATCCAACAGGTTTATGTAGCTGTAGACTAGTCACATCGCCAAAAGATACTCGTGCGCCCTTCCAGAGACTTGCAATGTCATCTCTGACCACAACATGCGACATTTCTTGTATCTGTCATCTAGGAAACACGGACAGATTTTGCTCTCGGTGTAAATATGGCTTCTATAAACTAAGTGGACTATGCTTTCAATGTAGAAATGGCGATTCATTTTACTATTATTTGTTTATCCCTATGTTTGCAGCATCCTTCCTTGTTTTAATCTGGTCGTATTTTTATTATAATGTGCGTCCAGCGAAATGGTTTGCTGTGGCTGCTGTTCATTTCCTTTTGATGTTAATTATGACGCTTTTAGAATTCCTACCAGCATGGTTTTTCAAATTAAACCTGGTTGTTTTCGTGCTGTGTATGACTAGTAGAGGGAAGACTGCTCGTTCTCTTATCAGCATCGCGGTGTTTTACATCCAGACGATGGACTTCATGGTATCAAGCGTCAATGTTTGGCCTAAGAAAGTGATTGCAGCTCAAAGCTACTTGAGCAGCTACTGGAACTTATATTTTCCCGCTCTTTCTTGTGATTTGCCTTCTCTTTTTACCCCTGTTGGTAAGTTTGTGTTTCTTCTTCTTCTACCGGTGGTGTGCCTGTCTACCGTGGGTGCGTATTTTATCATCATGCTGACTATGCAGAGGTTCCGCCCAAACACAAGGCGTATGGAACAGGTTCACTTCAAATGCCGCCAAACCGCCTTCTTCTGCCTAAGCTTCAGCTACTTTCCCATTGTAAAACAAACGCTCTCCATTGTACGTCCATGTCACAAGGACCTGAATGTGCTCTACATGCCATCTTCTCCTTGGATAGAGTGCATATCTGACACATACCTCAAGTTAACAACACTAGGAATTGTCTCCGTTGTGGTCTACGTAATTGGATTTCCCTTGATGGTCATCTCCTTGATGTTGCTCTTTTTCCCCAAGAGAAGCTCTATGAGTCCTGAAGATCGAAAGAAACTTGATGTATGGCTTGGTCCGATCTACTTACCCTACAAACCTAAGTACCAGGCGTTCTTCGAAGTTGTCATGCTCTTACGTCGCCTGATTCTCGCCATCGCTCTGTCCATGATTCCATCGTCATCTACACTGCAAACCTTTGTAGTGTGGCTTGTACTTATGGTTTCATCGATTATTCATCTTATTTTAAGGCCATACGACACGCAACCGGGTAGGAGAGAAGGAGAAACCGACTGTCAACACGAAAGACTAAAGCTCAGAGGCATTTTCAGTGAGAATGTCTTTGAGCCTCTTGTGTTGTTCGTCTTATCGATGTCATTCATGGTATTACGATTTTCAACTTTGGATGTCAACGACACTAACTTTTTTGTTTGGTTTGTGATGGTCGTCAACACCTGTGTCCTGATCGGTTTGTTAGGTGGCATCCTATATCGTCTCGCTGGTAAAATTACGGTCCCTGGTAATGCCAATGAAAATGGTGATAGATTTGAAGAAGAAGGAGAGGAGAGGAGCCATTTATTGCGATTTGGTGCACGCTGCAGATACCAGTCTATAAATAACGACCCTTAACTTTGCATAATTCAACTATACTTAATCGCTCCGCAGTAAACATGGGTCTGCAGAGAATGGTTTGAACTGCAAGCTACGCTATGACTGTCACAAAAACATGTTAATATTTTACGCTGTTATGCTGTGTTTCTAGTGATTACAAGGAACAGTTAAAGGACGTTTGATGTTATTAGTAGTGACACTTTATAGGGTGCCATCCACTCCTAGCCTTTTCCTGCAAACTGAAACCTATAGAAACAACGTATTGGATAGCTTGAGATTTTAAAGACAGGAAATGCAGTTGAAACACTGTATTCACTCTTTGTCGAGTTCACTCTTTGTGATGGCTTTGAACAGCTATGTCCCGATTGTTTTTTTAGGCGCTATGTTCATTCGTCTCGCTTCCAAAAATGAAAATTCAAGAAATGAAAATTTTGAACGGAAAGACAGATTTAAAGAAGGCGCCAACAGTGTAAGGCATTTTGGTGGAATAGGTGCCAAGTGTTAATATTTTGCTGTAGAGGTTAAAAATTGTATGTATAATGCAGCCAGCAGATGCTGCCGTCGTGGTAAACAACATAAAAACACCAAAATGATATACAGATTTTTTTTACTCTTTTATTGGGTCAATTAATGTTTCTGGGATAAAAACTACAAGGAGTTCTACAACCACGGGTTCTTTGTGAATTGGGTCTTTTTGGCCAGTTTATTGTCAAATGAAAAAAGAAACTTGAAGCTGTTTGCGTGGGCCACAGTGTGCGAAAGTAGCAACTAGGAGAATAAGAGTGACGCAAAAAGAGCTTTACGATTTAAATTCGAATAACTTTGAACAGTTTGTCATATATTTGCAAGTTTTTATCGAAGTGAATTCTAACGGACTGTACATAACTCCAGAAGACAAAGAAGATACTTCTTTTTTTTTTTGTAAGTCACTGAGCGTAAAATTAGGAAGTTTCACGTCGTAGTCGTGCAGTGACTGCAAGAAGATGTACAACAACAAATGATGAAGTTACAGTATTGCAAAAACTTGAAGATAAAGTTACAATAAATACTAATGATTAATTGAGATAATAAGCCAATTGAAAAAACAACAATGATTTCAATGGTCAATCAAGTGTCATCAGTATGATTAAATTAAAATGATCAAATTATTACGTAAATCATAATCTAAAAATAGTCGACACCCAAAGCGTTTACGACGACTAACTCGCTTGAGATACGACAACCAAATGGGGCTATATTTTACGGGCAATCACTTAAATTGAGTTTATTCGACGAATAATCTAAGATAATATCGTAAACTGAAACAAATACAAGCAAAAGCAAAGCTAAATGGCTTGTATACATTGCTGACATTCTGATCATTCCATTACAAAATTACGGAATCTACTACGGAACTAACTGATAAATCAACTTATTTTTACATAAGCTCGGATTCCTTTGTTCTTTTCGGGGGGAATATATTACATGACCCCCGAATCAACTGTCTGAAAAGCTGGGTGCGGCTTTGATTGTTTGAAGGGAAGAGCGGGACTAATGAACAGCTAATTAAAATGCGAGGGGATTATGTATTAATATGCAAGGGGGATAAGTGACTTATTCCCTTGCATATTAATACATAATCCCCTCGCATTTCAATTAGCTTTTCATAAAGAAAAAATTCACAAATGTTTATTGGAAATATTAAACACGACGCTATAATTACTAAAATTAAACTGAACTGCGTTTCTTTTGCGCCACATTCACGGATTTTCTTAGTTGTTGGTTCATCGATTTCCACAGCCAAAACGACAGTTCGAAATTTAACAGCGTCTTCAAAATTCTACGGTTCCACGAAAGTGTCGCTGGCATGGTAAGGAGTTCCGTTCCTTAACCAGTCATCCCAAATTCGTGTACTCAATGAAGACATGCAGTTGACTTCTTTGGGTTTTGTGGTATTCTTGCTTGATTCCTCGACTGAATTTCCTTGTCAGGTGCAGTTATGTAGTGATCCCTGGCCCGGAATCTTCTTTGTCTGTAAACATGCATGTCAGTCGAAAGATCCTCGGTGCGAAAATTGAAATTGTCAACTGCTTGCTCGTTTTCTGCACCCCGGCAAATGAAGATTCAAATTGTTTTCCGAAAGCTCTTGAAGTAGCGCCACCAAAGCTGCTTTAGTTTGAGTAATAAACGGCTCTACTTCTGGCTCTGAATCGCTCGACACTGCTAGGCTCTTTAGGCTGTTTCTCAGTAGCATTCACTGCGAACAACTAATTTGAAATGCGACTTTGAAAAACTAACATAATTAAAAAGCCGAGAAACCTGTGAATGCCACCAGTGCCAGCATGGATTGTTAAAAAACAAAAGAAAGATGAAAAATAGAGGCATTTTTCGTCAATGTATTTTTACATCCCTTGAGGAATCCTCGCTTATGTAAAAATGAGCCGTTCATCGGCCTTCAGCTCGTGGTTATGTGTATTATTCCCCTCGTGCGTTGTCCTCGGGCAACGCACGAGGGGAATAAATCACATATCCCCTCGCTTCAGGCCGATAACCCTTACAAAATCAAAGACATCTTATTTAACAGGACTAGTAAGACATAAAGGTGAACTAATCATGAATTATGGCCACAAATATTTTCTAGTGACAAGGCAAAACAACTAGATATAATGTGAAATTATCCCGTGTCCACAAGAGTCGACCAAACGTAAATCGAATCGCAAAAACTAAGTCAAGAAAAGGCTAATGTGCGCTAAGGTAAAATGGAAAACTAAACATAACTTTCAAAATTTCCAAATAGCGTGGTCGATCATGACTTATCACATGGTCAAAACGTTAGTAGAAATTAAAGTAACGACCTTTAGCCAAGACTACGAAGACCACTAAATAGAGTAAGTGCAGTGAAGAAAGAAAACCTATAACTTACATAACAGTCCCGCTTGTGGCGCTAGACCAAAACGACTCCAAAGATATAAGGCACCCTCTACTAAGACTTGTCTCGTGCCTAAGCAAAGCCAACTAAATCAGTGCGGTAAGAGCAAGACTATAAATCGAACTCGTTTCTTATTAAGTCAATAACGTCATTGTGCCTTAAACAGTTGCGGCTAACCAAAGGAATTAAAGGTCAAATGAACCCAAAATTCGACATTTTTTATTTTAGTTCAATTCTAGTGAAATGTGTTTAACATGAACCAAATAAACATACTATGAAGTTTCAGCTCAATTGAAGCAAGTATCTCCGAGATATTCGCAGTTAAAAATTGCTGTTTTTTGGCCCTTATCGATCGTAGAGCGGTCGGAAAAATTGTCGGAAAATACAGCTTGTGACGTCAATGTTGGTCAGGTGAAAAAAAGCGGGAAATTCAAACAGAGTTTTTCGAGTCGACTTGGCGCAGAAGTGGTTTGTGTGGCCATAAACCTGGAAAGAACAGGCAATTTGTCTTCAAAAGTTGCAAGCTGTGGTTATAACCTTCTTATTATTTAATTTTCTCGAAGAATACATCATAGTAAAACTGACTTTAACGACATTTACTAATTTCCTTGAGTTGTACTGGAAATGTGCGTGCGTAAGTCCTATTTTTTTCAAGATGCATTCACCAAATGTGTTCATATAAGGAAGTTCCTTGATATATAAGGTCCTGAGCTCCACCGTGGACACAAAAACAGAATATATCTTTGTATAATAATCTGCCCAAAGAAATTCAAGTTTGCCCACAATGTGTTTGAAGTCACTGAACTTTGTCGCACTCGAGCTGATATTAGTGAGCTTAAGATCCGACGACGGCGAGATTCTACGACGGCAGACGTGGTCGAGGGGGCTTGGGTGAGGTCGCCGTCGCAATAGCGCGAAAAATAGCATTAAGAAAGCTCGCGCGACGGCGGGTTGTTGTAGCGCCTTTTCGTGTTGAAGTTAAGAAATAAATGCAAGAGCGATGGCTACTTTTAGAAAGGTTCTTGAATTGTTACTGACAAGTTTCGATGATGGCGACATTTCAAAAGATGAATTTTTACTGTTGTATGATGTCAACAGATCTAAAAATCTGGATTTTCCCTACCAGAATTACAAACATTTTGACCTCGAGAGGCTTGACGAAAGTGAATGCTTAGCAGAATTTCGTTTCAGGAAAAGTGACGTACCAGCTGTTCTCAAAGAGGCAATGGGGTTGCCTGACTCGTGTACATGCGAAGAGGGGACCTTGGAAACCGGTTAAATCGATTCACCGCGGTCTCAGTCATGTTTGTGTACATGTGTACATGTGCAATATGCCGCCTAATTCAAGCATAAACTAATCGTGATGTTGTATTTTGAGCAGTTTCGAGAAGCAAGCGTTTCGTGTCTCAATGACGATGCACTTTTTTTGCCTTACTGAAAGCTCTTGATTAAAATTACATTGTAAAAAACAAAAAACAAAAAACAAAACGCTATTTCGAGAAAAGATGAGTGACATAATCCATTGGACCTCAATTTAATGCCGAAACAAGTCTACGATATCATAATTGTTAATAAACACATCAATAAACACAAGAAAAAAACTTGTACAACTGACTGGGTTGCTTTCTTTGTCGAGTTGACCGAGTCCATGGCGATTAACGAGTCAAACTGCTTAGAGAAGGCAAACAAATTTAATTTAAATACGGTGTTCAAATCGTTTAAGTCGCTTAGAAATTCGACAAAAATAGTCTACTGAGAATAAACTGTTAACAGTACGAAAGAATTTCGCTCAAAATGTGTTTAAATGACATTATTTTGATCAAGTTTACTCACGTTTTACACGCGACCGCAAAATGGCCTCCTTCACGTCACAGACAAGGACGCTACGGCGGGAAGCTTCGCAACGACGGCAGCCGGAAGTCTTTCTAGCAGTAATTTCACTTCCGCTCGCCGTCACAGACGTCTGCCGTCGTCGGATCTTAAGCAGGCTATTTTAAAACCCAAGCTCGATCGGACACTTCTAGCTTCGCAGATTACTAAAATGTAAACAAAATCCTCAATGTAGAAGTTTTGGCGTTGATATGTGGGCAGAAAAAGAGTTAATCTTTAT